GAAGATGGAGAATTCATATAGGGGAATAATGAGTGAATGCACAAGCACCACTATTTGTGACACCCAGTCATATCACTCAGTGTCTCTAACCATCGGTAATAGTAATACGCAATGAACTTGGAATACAAACCACGCAATACGGATCACGGAATACGAATCAAGGATTAGCAATCACGAACTGAATCACGTAAGCACTGAATCACACTGGCACTTGCATGCAACATCTCAAGTAATCGAGACTCGAGGAAAAGGCCAAAGGAGCAGTAGTTCATTTATTGGAAGAAATAATGGGGATTAAATAATATGTACAAAGTAAGTTCATTGGTTATCCGGGCTTCTACCAATTGCGTTCCACTATTCCTGGCATCATTCTCCTCCTGTCTAGGTCGCACGGTCTCTGATTGGCTGGTACGATTTACGTATGGTATATAGTCAAAAGCAGTGACCCGTACGCGTGTGGTTGACATCGCCCGTGAAGTTTGATTGATTGCGGTTTTCCGAAAATTGTAACGCGTCGCTCTAGGGTATGCATCATGCTGTAGGCCCGGAAAACCACAATATACAGTTTGATTATTCTGGATGTATGACTGCCGTGTCGTTGTTGTCGATCGTCCAGGTCGAATTTGACAGCTATCATGATTTGATGAAGAGGACGATTTTATGCATTCACATCTGGGGGCGTGGGAGGTGTATTGAACGAGAATAAGCAATTGAACATAGTATTGCACAACTTGTACTGTACTGTATTTGTATAACTTGTGTAAGCATATATGCTTCTCAACTGCAAACACCAAGTACTCAATAGAGCAATGATTAATTTTCCCAATTACGGATAGTCCGAAAAAGTAGAGTGAAAGTAGCATACAGAATTTATATATCTAAAACAACAAAAAATGCTAAACATTTATTCCGTAGATGTTTTCTCAATTCACTGTGACAACCTCCAATCTCTCCAGTTGGATGCTGTCATGCTGGAGAGGAACCATTTTCGGGAAAATTTCATTGTATCTCTTCAGATGCGTACTACAGTCAAAGAATATAATGAAAAAGAGACAGGTAACATTTACCGCGGATGAGCTGTTTGTATTATCTCCGTCCATCTTTCTATCAACACGGGGCTATAGAGTTACAAATAACTGTTTCTGCGTGCACAGCTCAGGTTTCCATCGTTCTATAGCAATCGCCTCTGCAAACTGGAGCAACCGAGAGTTTTGCGTGATGAGGTCACTTTTAAAGGCTGGGGAGAGCTATGCAGTCTAAGCATTTCATCCACGATGTTATCCCAGGGGTACAAACTTTTCTCACATGGTTATAAAGTATTCTCGTTAGCCCTCGTTTGTGACGGATGAAGACGAAGCTGGTTAAATGTAGCTATTGACCCGTCCACGTATGTTTTCGATGAACAGATCGATCAAGGCTTCCATCGGAGGTCTTCCGTTGGACTTTTACATCCAGGAAGGACAAGGTGTTATTTTCTTCGTGTTGCATTATCAACTTTATATTTGAATGGGAGTTATTCAAACTTGGGACTAAGTTCAACGCCTCCGCCTTTGATTATACTATGAGCAACACATAGTGCACGACTCGTTTGTACAAAACATTTCTGGTGAGACTATCGCTGATCTTCCTCTCCCGGTTTGCCATAAATATATCTACTAGAATGAGACCCAATAGACTTCCTATGGCTACACCATCAATTCAGCGAAAATATCTTCCCTGGTAATTGAAGCAAATGTTCTCTATGCACATTGTCAATTCTGATAAGCGGATTGGAAGTCTTGTGCTCTTCCGTTGCGTGAAGTCAAAAATATATGTCACAGTTTCTTTCAGAGGCACGTTGGTCTACAACGACGCCACATCCACCCATTCACATTGATCGAGTTTGTAAGGTCTACCAACTAGGTGCTGTCCGTCAAGCTGTGAACGCATAGTTTTTCGGTAATCGGTTTTAATATTCTCACAAGCCATTTCGCTAGTTGGTGTTGGGACAAACACGCCGTAGACAAGATAGGTCCCAATGGTATCTGAGGTTTGTGTAACTTTGGGAGACCGTACAATTGTGCCGTCTGCGGTTCTCGCGGTTTTAGACGCTTGGCGGTCGACTCATTCAGGAATCCGCCTTCAAATAACGTTTGTATCTCCCGTGAAACAGCTTTTTCTATAGCATTTACACTGCCTTCCCTTCTACATTCCTGAAATTTCGTGTGATCTTGCAGGATATTTTCCATTTTCGAGATATAATCACATCTGTGCATCACAACTACACCTGACCCTTTATCTGGTTGCAACAGTATCAGGTCTTCGTTCACTCTAAGTTCGTGAAGTGGCTCCGTGTGGCTCCTGGTCAGCCGACAATTCTGCCCTGAAGGCGAGCATCTGTATTGATGTTCCAGGTGTACGAGCTTCGCTTTGAGCCAAGTGAATGCGTCATTTGATGTTGGCTGCAATTTCGATAAATGATCCATGAAACATTTGAAGTGAACCTGACATTCGATTATCTTTGTCTTCCTTGGTGGAACGCATATGATAATGCCTCCATTGGTTATTGATTTAATTGGAGTGAAGATAGGTTTGTGATGTAATAATTGTAGTATGCACTATTCACGAAGTATGATTAACGAATAGGAAAGCACGGACTAGCAATCACGGACGAGGTGTAAACACTAGATCACACTGGTAGTTGCACGACAATATGCCACCTCACCGAGACGCAAGGAAAAGGCCACAAGAGTATTCACTAGTTGGTTTATTGAAATTAATAAGGGGGATTAAATAATGTCTACAAAACCAGCTCATTGGTCATCCAAGCCACTGCCAATCGCATGCTAATATGTCTGGTGTTGTTCAGCTTCTGTCTGAACCGCACGGTTTTTGATTGGTTGGTACACTCGATCTATGGTTTTTAGTCCACAACCTGTGACACTTATACGCATTGCTGACGTCATCTGGGAAGCTTGATCGAACACAGTTGTTCGAAAACTGTAACGGATTGTTCCATGGTGTGCATCATCTCGTAGGCTAGGATCACCAACCACATCCTTCCTTTTCATTGCTATTCAATTGCGATATATATATATATATATATATCGAATTTGAATGCTATCAACAGAAATAGCATTGGTTTTCCGATCATTTTGTCGTCGTTGATTTCCACCTTCCTGTCTGTGTCTGTCACAAAAGAGCAAGTTTTAAGGCAGTTAAATGCTGTCAATGGGAATGAATCCGCTGGTCCCGATGGACTATCCCTCAGTGGTCCTCAAAACATGTGCAAACCATCTCGTACAAACCGTTTCATTCATCTTTAATACATGTCTGTTAGAAGATAGACTAGTTAGCACATGGCTTGATACTCACGTCACTCCAGTACTTAAGAAAGAAAAGGGTAAGTTTCGGCCTATTGTTTCATCTTCAGTATTACTTAAGACTTCTGAGCGAACTGTTATTGGATATCTTGATTTTTGTGATTCCAACCAGTTTGCTTATTGTAAGCGTCGTTCCCACTTTGGATGCGGTTGTCTGTCTTATACATTCTGTTTTATTCACTATAAACCAAAAACAAAATCTTTCACGTTTGTTTCTTGCACTACACAAACGCGTTCAACTCTGTCGAAAGAAACGTCCAATTGACACTGTTACGGCGAAATATTCTCCCGCCACATCTTTTGAATTGGATGCATGACTATTTTACGGACCGACGCCAATTCACTTGTCTCAATGGTATTAGGTCTTCTGCTGTTACTGAAAAACCAGGGTGTATTGCAGGGAGCAATTTTATCGCCTTTTCTGTTCTCCTTTTACATTCAGAACTTGTCAGTCACCCCAAGTGACTGCACATTCAAATATGCCGATGACATAGTGGCTGGTGGTGCATATCACAACAACAACCCTTCAATCAGCCATGAGGTCCATTTCTGAATGGTTCGATGATGTTAACCTTTCTTTAAACCCGAACAAATGGATAGAAGTTTTGTGTTCCACTGACCATAGACCATCAGCACTTTTCCGATCATGTGTTCCCAACATCTTAATCAATAACTTAAAAGTTCAAATATCTGCTAACCTTAAATGGTCCTATCACGTAGAACAAACATTTCTTAAAGCCAGAAAATTGACCTTTTATATTTCACGCCTTTGGCATCTGTGCATCATTTATGAATTTACTTTTTCGTTCGTTTTGTGCCATTGGACCTACTGATCGCCTATTATCTTTCACGGTAATACAGTTTTTCACTGAAAATTCTGCCCGCAATAATGTGCACTGTTGA